GATCTGGTTGGAAGAATGATACGATCGAATCCAATGAATTAACCGACATTTTTTGCATTTTTTCATGTACAGAGATATGCAATATTTTGAACAAAGAATTTCCTCGAAAAAAAAAATCAGAATCCTAATGGGCTGATCTTGTAAGCCACTAATTGAAAAAAATGTAAATAAGTCAGAATTGTTTGAGGAAGAATTTTTCTTCATGGGGATTTACTTATATTCATAGATGATGCATTCTGAGTTATCTCATGAGAAACGAATAAGAAAAGCATTAGTCTCCCATGCCATTTAATTTTTCTTCAAGTGACACTTCGGAATTATAGAGTACCACATCAGTTCAGTTCAGAAGACAATCTGTGTTGAAGACATTTTTATAGTGATGTTTTAAAATTGCAGACAAAGCAACAAATCAGAGTTCTAAAAGAGAGCATACAGGAATTCAGGATTGAAAAAACTTGAAACGTTTTAAGACTTTTTACATAATTTTCCAAGTGCATTGCACGTTTTGAAACTTTTGAAATTTTAGCCTGTCTGCACTTCATTGGTTTTTTTCTTCGTCAAAATGTTCATGCTTTCCCTCTAAATGAAAATACTGTATTGTGAAAAATGTCATAATACTATCTATGGGGTACTCTACAGTGCCAGCATTGCGCTATAGAAACATTTTAATTGAAAAATCAATCAAATAGAAGCCGCATATTCTGTAGCCACCTCTTAGATCCCGATTATTGAATCAATTAACAGAATTCCATCATAAAATGTTCTCAGCATGGACTGTAAATTAATTGAAGCTGATGCTTCGAATAAAACTAACTTGTGAAAAAAAACCTTTAGATATATCTCCTTTTACAATTTTCCGGGCCACTTTGAGAAAGACAGCGTAGTTTTTTGTACTCCACACTGTGGAATATGACAATACTGTGCTGCAATTATTTTCATTCATATCCAAAATGTTGACGAGCACCCAAACGTTTTTAGAAATTTCGTGCGTCAAAAATCACTGGATCAACTTTTTTTAAATTTCACCCTCTCCCATGAATATGTGAACTTAAGCACCTCTTTTTTTTTTAGGGAATGTTGAACACATCAGACATGTGTCTGCATGGGTTTTTAATTTTTAGAAACTCCTGCTGGGAGCCATAGAAATGCTTTAAACGAGTTCGACTTATACACAGGGAAGCTCGTTTCATGCGAAAAAAAAATATATCTAGTGGAAGAGAGGAATACATATTTTCAGATATTCACAGAAGAAAAAACTGTCAAATGAAGGAAAATGAGAATACAGTACCCCCGAGTTGTGTAATTCAATTGCGCTGATCATCAAAATCCGTTCAATAACCCCATCACATTTTTTAAATTAAAAAAATAAAATTCGGGTTTGAATCGTACACTAGTACTTAAAAAGGAAAACAAAGTCGATTGAATCATCGTAATCTGCTATTTAAAAAAAAGGTGGAAGAAAAATTGAGCGATGTTTTGAACAAACTGCATGCATCTGCCAATATTTTTTTCGCCTTATTCTCTCAGCACAAGTTCAATTCATAAATAGACTTTAAAAAAGTCACTCACAAGCTTGTTCATGTTGATTGAAGACAAGTTTTTCTCTTTTCGAAAAAAGTAAACCTTTGACTATGCTCACTGGATTTCAACACTTGAAAAGAAATTGGAACTTTCACTTCCTCAAGAGCAGGAAAGAAACTGCCAACAGGGGATGGACTTTGGGTTTATATATGGCGACTTACAGCCGCCTCGGGCGCCGTTTTGTTTTCGGCGGTGGCCCACTGCTAACCATGAGTAAAAAAATAATAATAAAATAAATTAACATGGCCTGCATTCCCAGGCTGTCATTTCTCCGTTATCGGGACCACGCAGAACGATTATTGCTATAAAGGACGAGACATGATGTAAAAAAATGAAGCAGTCAATGGATCATTCAAATTATAGATTAATACAGTTGATGCGATTTTTAATTTTGGTTCTATTGAGAATGCAGTATTTTGAATTGAACGGATTGATTCAAGTACCATGATCACTGTCATCCTTTTTTTTTAAAATCATACTTGAAGGAAATTCGTCTACTTTATCTGAAGTTTTGGGTTTTGAATTATGCACGATTTATAAAAAAAAAATTTGAAAGTTACTTTTTCATATGCCAAGAATTAGATCTCCTGTAGATGACATGTGCATAAATATTATTTTTCGATCTAATAATTTTTCGAGACTCAAATATACTTTTTCGAAGAACAGTGATCATTGGGGCTGTTGGAAAAATTGTGTTAACTTATTGGGCGTCATTAAAGATTTTTTTTCCGCCGTTTGCACGCGTGTTGAGGAATGAGAAAAATAATAAGCATTGAACCAGATTTCTCATCTAATGATGACCAATTTGGAACACATAATTTAACCTAATTTTTGGTACTTCTTCTGCGTATTGGAATACTTTTCGATCTAATAATTTTTCGAGAGATCGAGACTCACTTATCCTTTTTCGAAGAACAGTGATCATTGATGGGGCTGCTGTTGGAAAACTTGGGCGATGAAAGAACAAAAACTCGGAAAGGTTGCTAAATTTTTGGAAAATAAATTTAGAACCTTCTTCATCTCGTAAGCAATTTTAATAGATTGATTTTGAAGAACTCTAGTCCAATTCCAATTTGAAGTTTGAATATTCCGCGACATGAGAAAATTGTGCGCGAAGTAATGTTTAAATCAGATCAGAATTTTCGTTTCAACTGCGTTCTTCCATTTTTAAAATTATTTTTTAAATTCTCCACCGTCCTTACTTATTGCTTCATGAACTACAGTATTTCTAAAAAAAAATAATGGAGAATTTTTTCTTCACCCGATAAATATAAATTTCTCACTTGTAGCCGAATATTTAAATCAAAATAAACTTTCTCTGCCCAGGCCCAGTCAGTTCAATTCAAAAGAAAAAAAATCGCGAGGCTCCTCTCGAAATAAATGACCTTTTCTTTACAATTCAAACATGCTCAATTCTGCCTCATCCTTACCAGAACAGAAAGCACAAGGGAGAGAATTCTAAGCGCTAAATTAATCAATGCTGATGCCCTCACCGCAATTTTTTGAAAGCCAGGCTTCACCGGAAAAAAAATATCGCTAGGGGGCACAACAACAAAAAAGACCACGTACACACGCCATCAGAAGATAGCGAAAGGGAAATGCAGTGTTCCAAAGAAAGACAGAGATGAGATGAGAAAAAAGCAACAAACATGTGTTTATAAAATATGTATTGAGGAGATGAAGCCCACAGATGGTCATCTGCTTTGAGAACTTATTACGCGTGATCATTGGCTTGTGACGTGCTTCAACATTTTCGCCCCGAGATACTTTTTCTTCTGCTGATGAAAGGGCCAAAAAAAACATGAGAAATTATCTTTTAAAAAAGGAAGAAAAGAAAACAAACGAAATCTAGTCCAATACTTCTGTACTTCGAGAGTTTTGAGTTGGAATATGCTAATCCTGAGTATATTGATAAAATCTGATGTAGCATATTTTTTTTCATATTCAATTTTGAAAGAGCCATATTATGTGTAAGCTTTTATAAATCGAACTCAAATAGTTCAGCCAATATTTGAGAATGCGTTTCAAAAACCTTCTGCTTCGGGTTGAAAAGATAGGGATGAATTTTCTTATGAAGTATAACTCTTTGAATTGGCGAAAATCAAAGTCACTGGCATATCAACTGGCTTTCTTAAGCAAAATATAATATTCTTTCAGATATGGCTTATTTTACAGCAGTAATTGAACAGTTTTTCATCCTTGTTTTGGTGAATACAAAATCATTTACTGTAGGACCTGCTTGAGTCACACTCAGATGACAGACGGAAGAATGTGAGTTAGGGAGTTTTTGAGTAAAGAAAACTCATTTTCTTGAGAAAAAGCTTCAATGATGAAGCATATGTGATTTCTGTGCATGAAATATGGCTAAGAAGAGTGACCACTCTTAATCATAAAAGTGGAATGTGCATAAACTTACAAAAGCTCTCATCACATGGAATCTGCTTCACGTGGCAGAGGAAACACCCATCGTTCCACACGTTTTCTGCCCTTCAATTTTTGCCACGGTGGCTGCATGTAGGCCGGGGCGCCTTTCGCCGCCGCGGCGGCGGGGCGGCAACCACACACACATACAGCAGCTGGCCTTCTCAGCACCTCTTGATGATTATGGCAGCCACCTTTCTTTCCCATACAGCGTATGTGTGAGTGTCATCATCACCATCATTTGTTTTTCGTGTTTTGCCGCTTTCTGGGATGTGCAGTGTGGCGGCGCTAGTGCTGGACAAAGGCGCCGAATCGTAACCGCGGCTTCCCCAGCAGCCCCGTCATTTATGACTACTGCATTTGGTCGAGCAAAACGTTTTTTTTTTTAATCGAAGGCATGAAGCAAGAATGAAAAAAAAATCGGGTTTGAGTAGTCTTTATTTTTATCTTTTTGTTTAGACCAAAAATGAAAATGTGTTCTCTTATTGGGCGTCATGCAGCATTTTTGTTGTTGTTTTGTTTCAGCCGTTTGCTCGCGTGTTGAGGAATGAGAAAAAAATAATATTAATTAGCCCAGATTTCCCATCTCATGGTCAGAGATTTGGAGCACCTAATTTAACCCCATTTTTGGTACTTCTTCTGCAAGAAATGTCCGCCTTTTACTTTGGTTTGAGTCAGTATGTGTAGATTTCCACCAGCAGAGACCTATTTATATTTAAATTACACGAATACTGGTTATAAAACTTCAGCAGAAACTACACGTTAAATTGAATTAAACTCGAGTATAAAAAATGTCATTGCTTTTTTTTTCAATTTCGAAAAAAACAACAATTTATTGAATGACGTCTTCGTATTTAATTTCATCATTTGGCTCCTCTTATAACTAATTGACTGGCACATCTATTGGAAATGCATCTCTTCATTCTTGATTTTTAAAAGGAAAAAGTATCAAACATATTAAGGGTGACTTACCAAGCATTGTTAATTGCAAAAAAGCCATTTTTGCACCCTTGAAAAAGAATTTGTTCACATGCGTACACTTTTCTATTGCTGGCTACAGACATCACGTGACATTTTAATTTAGTATAAAAGGTGAATAAATGAGATATCATTATTTGAATAACTTTTATTTCACTACACTGCAAGTAATACCTTCAGCATGTGCTGAAAGGGACATTGGAATTCTTGGGGTTTTTCAAAGCAGCATCCCGTCTTGTAAACTAATCTTTCAAGTTGACATTAAAACCAGCCAATGTTCAGTGACGATGCAGAAAACACTGCATACATCGTAGAAGAACTCAAAATACAATGTTATTCATTCAAAGAATCACAGTGCATCTCAGCTGTTAACATTATGTTTGGTTCTGGTAGTGGACCCCACTTTGGTTGAAATTATCATAACCTGAATTTAAGATTAAACACTTTAACACTTTTCAGATGATGGACTTGATACTAAAATTGCTCATTGTCCACTAGTCACAGAGGCACTACTGTTATGAGCACATGTGTGGATGTCTTCTGTTCCAAACATAGACCCTCAAAAGTCACAGAGTATGATCCATCCCAGAATGCCAGATGGGCCATAGATAGGATGGCAGACGTCTTGGCAACACTTCTTGCTTGCTTAATTGAAAGCAATGGTATATGTCTGTCTGGTTACTCTGGTCAGACAATAACATCCACCCGTCCAGGTCTCTGTGACCATGGCAATTCCATCCATGAATACTTTCAGGCAGGTCAAAGATCTGGATAGCACACAAGAAGAAAGGGAATACAACTCCTGAATAATTTCCAAAATGTTATGAATAACAACAAGTACATCCCATTGCATCAAATTGGATGATGAAGAAACAGGAAATTGTGAAAATACCCTATGATGGCAGAAATTAGTATGATAAAGTGTTTAGAAAAGTTTAAGCTGCTGCATGCTCTGTAATTTCTGTGAAAAAAAACTTCAGTGAAAAAAAAAATAGAAAACAGTTCATTTGAATGCAACTCCTTTAAATTAAGATGCACCATTTTTGTTCATCATTGAAACATTCTTTTGTTTTCCTGATTGGAAATTTTCATTAATGATATTAATGCTTGTGAAGTCTATCATCCCAAAGCAAGTATGTATCCCAAAAAGAGGAATTTTTGGCAATGTAGTTGGCAATGCTAGATGGAAATGGCTCACATAAGCACTACAAATAAGCTTCATTAGAAGATTTTTTGGCATTGTTAAACATTGAATCCTAAAAAAATGATCAATTTATTGGTACCGGGTCATCCGCCAGTCAGTCAAATCACGGTTGCGCACCTGCCAGTTGTCAAGCGCTGGTTGGTCTAACAACTCTAACCGACTGCCCTGGCTGGCGGTTAGACCAATATAAAAATAAAATTTCATCTTATAAAAATTTTCACAAGAAGAAAAAACTCTTCAAACTTAACCTAACATATCCTAACCTAACCTAAACTAACATAACATAAACTGACCTAACCTAACCTAACATTGCTGAAATTTTGAAAAAAACAAAATCTGTGGTAGGATACCATTCTGCTCACTGAATTCTGAAAAAAATCAGCATGATTCTTGTCACTCAATTGTTTGGGTGCCCCAACAATCGGGTGACCAAACCACAGGTTGGTGGGCTGGGGATTGGTGGGGCCAAGAACTGCCCTGGCTGGTGGTTGGACCAACTGGCGCTTGATGACCAGCGGGTGTGCAACCGTGAATTGACTGACCAGCGGCTGACTGGACACACAATTTATCTACCCCAAAATATATATATACAGCATTTGAGTTTATGATCTTTCATACATATCTATTTTTAAATCCAGGATATGGAAGTTTTAGTTTTTGTAATTGAAATGCAGAAAGATGACCTCACAGTATAAAATCATAAGAAGACTAAAAATTCAATAAATGTGGAAAACTTACCAACAAAAATTGGATGCAGCCCAGAAACAGGAACCATGGTGGTCTGGTATAATTTAGGTTTGAAATATAGCTCTGTGCAGTTTACATATGCTAGTGTCTCTGCTGCAATGGCAACTCTGCTCCATCATAATGGATGCTGTTCACACTGGGTTTCCACAAGAAAACGTAGTAGAGTGACAACATGACACCCGCCATTGTCACAGAAATAACATAGCCTAGAACACTGAGTACACGGATGAGCTTCTTGTTGGGTTTTTCAATGGTATCCATAGGCACCAGGTCGTCATAATTGGTGTTTTGCTCATTACTGGTGTCTGACTCCATTTGTAATTCCACATTTCCTTCCATCTTTACAGCAGCAGATGCTGGTGTTGGAAGAATAACTTTTAGTCTGCTTTTTTTATCACAGAGCCAAAGGGCTACTGATGAAGATCATTGCACTGAAGGAGTTCACACACCCTTTTTGCCTGACAAAAAAAAAGTGATGGTACAGAATTATTTGGATGAAATAAAAAATTAATCTATGGAATTGGTTGGGAATTTTGTTTAGCAAGATATCAGGAAAAATAGAAGTTGAAGTGTGATTCCTTCCACACATTTTCAGATGATGATGATTCAAGATACCAGTTTGATTTTCTCCATGAATGCCTCATCACCAGCAGATTGGCTGAACAGGGTATCAATTGGTGAGAGTACAATAAAATTTTGTTTTGCCAAACTTGTGGGGATGTACAGTGGAGTAAAACTTTGTTTCAATAAATAATTCTGTTAGAACAAGATTTTCAAAATTAATGGCCAGGAAAAATGTTTACAATTAAAACTACTGTACATATATTCACAATAGCTTTAAACAATTCATAATTTATATGAGCTCAGTCATGAAGTTTGTATCTTTTTGTGCAGGCAAACATCTGAAGTTCCTGGTAACTTCATAATACAGTACTGAAAAACAGAGGAAATCATTTATATAATTGAACATATAAATGAATAGCTAAGGATATGCAGTAAAAGCAATTGAATCCATCAGGGTTGTTATTGGTTTTATTTGAAGAAATAATCTAGCAACTTACTGTAAAATGTCTAATTAACTTATCCTGGGCATTGGAAGATACAGTGCATCTTTTGATCTTGATTACAGAATTTAAGTGCTTTCTTCCCCACGAATAATTGAATTTTAGGCTGCGTCCTTTGACATTTAAATCAATTTATTAAAAAAGAAAACACTCACATATGGGCAGAATGAGAATAAATTGATTTCTACAATAGTGTGGATAAAAAGGACTAACACTTGCCAAGTAGAATGAATGAACAAAATACTGAAGGACACCAAGAAGCACACAACATATGTGGGACATGGTCTGGAACTGGAACAAATCAGGTGAGCCAGGTATTTCACAGAACTGAAACTATTCACCTGCACTTGAAAGGATTCCTTCCCTGTCTTACAAAATAAAATAAATAAATAAAATTGTCTTTCTCACACAGAGAAGTTGCTTGCCTCCTGTGTGCGCACTTTTTTTTTAATTTTTGCTGGCCCTCTCTTCCTTCCTCCATGCAGCTTATCTCCCTCCCAGTCTCCCACAGAGCCCCAGAGAGGGCTGCAGGAGGGTTGCATTTCCCGTTTTTCAAACTTTAAAAATATGCTAAAAATGCAATTCCTATTCAAACTTCAAACTTGAAACAGGGTTAGATGCTCAGTGAAGTTCTCCACGTTTCTGTTTTTATAATTTAGATGTATATTGACAATTGACAGAGAATATTGACAATTCACCAGAGTTTGCATTCCTTGTTTGCAACCATGTTTGCACATGGGCAAATCCTTCGCCCATGTGGCACCCTTTATTGCAACCCCACAAAGAGAATAATTGTGGAAAATCTTTCAAGATACACAGTATGAAACTTCCTGCAGCCAGAAACAATTCACCTTTTTTTACAGTTGTCACTTCTATTCTTGGGCAATTAAGATGCAATTAATATTTGAAAAATTTACTATTATTTTTTCAAAGTTGAATAATTAGTTGAGATTTTTATTTATACTGTAGCACAATATCCAACTAAGATTTATTCCTGCCGTAGCTCATTTCTTTTGGCATTTCAATATTCAACAGAATTGTGTGCATTTGCTGATTTTCTGCGACTGCTTTGAAGTGAATGATCCGTGCTATTGTGAATATTTTTCACTGATAGTGAACTCTATGTACAGCAGTCAAGAAATGCTATTGGTGTGAGGTCTTAGTTAAAAAGCCGATTTTTAAACGATTTATGAATTTTAAACCATGCAAAATTAAGGGGTCATTTTCTCCAGCAATTTTCAAGTCAGTTGGGTGGCCATCATGGTAATGAGAAAAGCCAATCTCTCAGATTTTTCTCAGCTCTATATGCAGAGATCATTTCGGTTTTGAAAACGTAAATTATCATATTGTTCTTGACCATTTTGGAATCATCAGATCCCAAAGCTGATGAACTGAGTATGATGAAAGATATATCAGATTTTTCTCAGCTCTATATGCAGAGATCATTTCGGTTTTGAAAACGTAAATTACCATATTGTTCTTGACCATTTTGGAATCATCAGATCCCAAAGCTGATGAACTGAGTATGATGAAAGATATTAACTGGTGTCGGGCAATCACAGCTAGTGCAATGAAACTGAGAGGTCAACAGCACGCCGGAAATGTGCGTGTGGCTTTGAACTGCATGCTGATAACCAGCAGTAATGTAAAAACAAAAATTTTCATTAAAGAAAAAGAAAAAAGACAAAGTTGAAAATAGGCGTTTTCGCGCCGGAAGTTGATGCCCAGTTTTAATCGCATTCACGCATCACTGAAAAAAAACAAACAGAAAACCGACCAGCACTCATTCGATTGAAGCTTTTCATCGACACTGTCTGTCAATAATTTATTTTTTTAATTGCTGCAGAAATCTTTAAAATCTTAAACAGATAATTCAGTTGTTTTAAATTCTGCTATCCATCCACTGGACTCAAAAAATCGCTTTCACTTTTAAAATTGGAAAAAAGGAAACAATAGAAAAAAAATAAAACGACTGGCTTGTTCCCTTGATGATTCATGAACAACAAAATTAAAATACATTTCGCATAACTAATTTTTCGCCAAAAAAAAAAGACTCGCATTTTGCGGGCCAGAAAATTAGCTGAGAGACGCAGAAAACGATGACAAAATATCCATGGCATTTGCTGAATGAGTGTCGTCATTATTACTTTTTTGAATGCAGAAAAGCTTTTTGGATATTCTGACCAATTGTCTTTTGGATGAGGATTTACTCATTGCTTTCTCTGTGAATGCAGAAACTTTCAGGACCCTTTTCAAATTACCAGATTTGCCAATTCATCTTAACTCTAATTTCTACGAGATCTGATTCTCATTATCAGATGTCTATTCAGAAGCATGCTAAACAGTGTTCACAGAGTTTGACACATGCCATTTTTAAATTTTCTGCAACCTGGAGAAAACTGGAATCAACTCAAGAACAGTTCAAAAAATATTATACTTGAGAAAATCAAACGAGGCAATTATCCAATGTGATGACGAAAAAATTATCCCTGCCATTTTCGCAATTTCAGATAATTCAAGTACAGTACAATATTTTCATCAAGCTTCGTACATGACTTCAGTTATCGACAAGCTCTTCGCATGTATAACAGACTATATCCCATCGGAAAATGGTTCAAGTCCGTTAACCGAAACACCACACCAGCCAGCCAAATAGCCATAATGACGATAATTACGACGACGGAAAAAAACAAACACATGGAAACACGAGGGGCAATAATAACGAGACGGGCCACGAGTGTCAATTTTCTTCAGGGCCTCCTGCTCAGGCGTGGCCTTGTAGTACAGGGTGTTGTAAAACTTGACCCCGTAGTCTACGTATTCTCCGTAGCGATTCGGCACAGCCAAGTTGGGTATCAGGGTCTTGTCCTACACACAAAATCAGGACACGAAAAATGGGGGTAATTTTGACAATAAAGTTTTTAGCATGATCATATATAGGCCGCACGCGTGGCCTATTACATCGTAAGACTACAGAGTGTCTATTTCTTTGTAGAAAAAAAAATCCGTTTTCGCACCTTGTAATGATATGGCTATTGGGGAATGGGATAAATCAAACTTTTTCTATCGCATATACATAGGCCGCATGTGGCCTATTATTTTACTTGAAGCATACTATAATATTACGCAGGCATTGTTTTTTTCGAAAACGTTGACTGAAAAATACCTTTCTGATCATGACAATTTGGATTTAGAAGCAATATGTCAGTGGTCATTTCTGCATCTGACAAAAAAATTACTTTATTTGAAAATGACGCCTTAAATTCAAATCTAAATGAATTATGATTCCTCATCACTATTTTCAATTCAGGGAGACAACAATTAGAGGCCTAATTACTGTAGTAGGGATATTTCAGGGGATGGAGATTGTGATTTTCTGATGATCAGACCAGATTGTTTTATTCATGTCACTTATAAAGCTTGAGTAGGATAAAAATCCCTTTGATTCTGAAAATTTTAATTGATGGAAGGATGGTCTTATTTATTTTTCAAACAAAATTTTATCAATTTTCGATCAAGCAACATTCATTAGAGCGCTGCCAAATATTATTTCAGTCTGATAATCAAGTAGAAAAATGGTCTCCAATAATTAATGCAGCCAAACATTTAGCAAAGCTTGAATAGGGACTTGGAATCAATTCAAAGAAAGAAGTCTTCCAGTGTTATAGGGATTGTGGCCTAATTTTTGAAGCTTAATCGAGTAAAAGTGTTTTTCCAAACAAATGCAAAGTTAATCATTATTAGATATGTTCAACCTGGAGGAATTTTAATATCGTATCACGAGTGAAACATACGCAGACGAAAATTTACATCCGCTTTTTTGTTTTTTAGAACAGGTGTATTTAGAACAAATGTATCCTCCGGTCGGGAGTGGAAATGTGGCCTATATATTACTGTAGTTGAGAAAAAAAATGAATAAATAAAATTAACTCACCATACTCATCTCATTCTCCAAACTAAAGCACTGGCCGAGGAGGAAGAAATCATACAAGTCCAGCTTTTCCATTGTGGTCTCCTGCACTTCGATGATCCGCTTGATGCATGAGATGGCCTGAAAAATTTCGCATTTAGCAAAATTATGATTCGTAATCATTTGTCTGAAGTCTGCAGGTTTGTTCTTCGTGGCTTTTGCTGTATTCGGCACACATAAAGAATAAAAAATGGTAAAATGTATTTCTATGTTATTCATAAATGCCTATGCTGTATCGAGCTGTTCACTATTTTTTACGTCTCTGACTGCAGACAAATTGAGCCTGATGATAACTCCCTGATTATGTGTGAAATTCTACCTCAAATTTGTCGAAAATCCAAGAAATTGCAATTTTAATATTTGAGGGATGAACTTCAACTATCATTGAACGTCATCATTTGAATGTAAAATATTTATGCATTATTTTTGAAGTCAGTGGAGATTTATTGAAGCGAAAGTATAACTGTACCATTTGCAGTTCAACTGAATATACAGGTCTACAGTTTTCTCACCACTCGAAGAACTATTTTCAAATAAATACCGTACAAAATCTTTTTTTTTAATGCCTTTCATTACGTTGAACTGTTCTGCGGACTTCATTATAATCCATATTTCTGTACTGGACTATGGAAACTTGTGAAAAGTTTTTTTTTGTGGTCAACCCTTGGGTATGGATGGAACGAGGAATTTTCCTTTCATTATTAAAAAAAAAGGGGGTTTACTGTACTGTATTATTGTATATATTGTGTATATATAGACAAATAACGCACCGCTGTTCCGGTGGCGGTGACCTTCAGGCAACGCACTACCATCCGCCCTCGCGAGTTCTTGTCCATGGGGCTCAGCGTGATGAGAGTGTTGTCAATTTCTATTTGCAAATCTTTTGCCTGAAATTTGACATGAAAAGAGGAAAAAGAATTATCCCTTTCACTACCGTCCAGCGAATGAATACAGCGAAAAATGAAATTTTTTTCGGCTGCGAATCTTTTGCCTGAAGCAGCGGGATTAAAAAAAATGAAAACGAGGAAAATCGCGTCACTTTTGAACGAAATAAGAGAACAAAGGTCGCCTTTGTTGCAGTCGTTTGTGAATTTGTCACACAAAAATTCTCTTAAGAACTGTCAATATCGTATACAGTAGTTCTAATAAACAGCTTTCATATATTGCAGTTTAACGCCATTTGGCAAATAAGAAGAACGCCTGTGCCAAGTTGTTTTTCTTATTTTCATGTTTAAAATTGATTTGATATTCAACTGCGGCTTCGAATGTTTTCATAATATCCGTCTTCATGGTCAGCACAATATCGTGAACTTAAATTCAAGTTGCTTTTGTTGCTTATGGGTATTTTGAGGGATTCTAGCCTTTTTTGTTGTTGTTCAGGTATCTTTATTGTTTCCTGCTTGGGCCAATAGTCATGGTCCTAACATTACAATTGCGCGCTTTAACAAGGATACTAACAATGAAAATTAACACGCTTTTTGTTGGCATTATTCAAGCGGGTTCATTCACTCTCTGCACTTCTCAATTGTCACAGCAAGCTGACCTTGTTTGGCAGACCATGCAAACCGCTGGAAGTGATAATTAAAAGGTTGAGGTCAAACCTTGACCCCAAAATGACAGGAAAACTGAGGCTATCTGTATAGAATTTGTTATAGAAATAGGTTTCCTTGCAATGAACAAATGAATCTGAGCTCTGTAAATAGCATAATTCCCATAATCTTGAAGGTACAGTACTGTCTATACATTTACTCCTGATCTTTGGGTTCGACATCACAATTTTTTTTGACAAATGTGATGTTCTTGAAATAAAACAGATTTTTGCCAATTCCAGTCTTAGAAAGGAGGGACTGCCAGTGTTGCTTTCCAGGAATTCCATCCAGTCAAAATTAATATTCATATTTATTTTTTCATCAGCTTTGCCAAACAAAAAAAAAATACCATCAGCCAATCCTGCATCAGGGAGGAAATCTGGGGGAATCATTCAGAAATCCCCTGACAAATAAATTATTTTTTATGTTCAGTTATCCTTGTAAGGACAGCTGGACTAATGCATTAGCAGCCAAAAACAAATTAGAATTGGTAAACTGAATACAGTACAGGTGGTGCCTTGCAATTTGACACTAATATGTTGCTGGACTACGTTCAAATTGCAAAGTGGTGAAATTGCAAGACATTGACAATTGGCATGATTTCTACATGGCATTTGACATTTCATGTCTCTCCACAGGTCAATTTGCGCAGCAGAGGTCAAATTGAGAGTCAACCTCCCAGCAAATTTGACCATCAAATTGCAGGACAGCCAAATTGCTAGAGGTTGAATTTCAGGGTACCAACTCTACCCAACATGAGCAAACTGCAGTTGACATAATGTACCAATAACCCACTGGCATTTTGCAAAAACTAGTTGGTAAATTAAATCATATTGCCAAATGATGCAAAACAGCTCTGCAGAGATGGAACTCATCCTGTGGTCTGCTGAGCAAATTCTGATGGATCTACTTCATCATTATCTCTTGCCAAAATATCACTGAACTAATATGATAATAGTTCCAATTGAGACATAAAAAAAAACCAGAATAACCAACCTCAGCCAGTTCCTGACACGGCTTGAAGTGCTCAGATAATTTGTACTCCTTGGCGCACTTCAAGAAATCTTCCAGATACGTTTCACTCTGTCAACGGCGAACAAAGCAAACAGAATTAAAAATAATAAACATGGATCATTCAATTGACAAAAAAAAGTATTAAAAAAAATATATGAATCGTGGGCGGATCTCACCGAGGATGGGAGGTCAGCGTGGAAGTAGCAGTCATGGCACCCTTCCCAATCTGCATCTGACACGCCCATACACAACGTATGCAGAAATATGTTCACCCAATGAGCTTTCCTGCGAATTCAGCCGAAATATTTCAGCACTTTCCAACAGTCACCAAAAACTATTTCCTTTTTTTCTATGGTCGCTGTTATTCTTTTTTTGCGCGTTCCTGTGGCGGCTCACTTTCACGATTCAAATGATAAAAATAACGGTAAATGTGTTAATTGCTGAATTGAACAGCAAAAAAAATGTCGCGTTTTTTTTTCTCGAATAATAAACGCGAATGATGAAGAATGCGCGTGTTCCCAAACTGATCCTAATTTCATAAACGGGATTCTTTGTTTCCTTTCGATATACATAAGAGGGTTATTATGATAATTGTCTGCCATAAAGAATCAATTTTAGAAGAGTTTTCCGATACATTAGGCGTAATAATTAATGTGGAAAATAACAAAGTAGAAAATAATTTTTTATGTTCTTGGGCAGTGTTTTGTGTATGAAGAAGCTCTATATCACCACAACAAGTGTGAAAATATTTTTTTTCTTAGAAAATATCTCACATGTGCTGAAAGCCAGTGTTGAGGTTGTGCCACCAGGGGTTGTTTTCGGGCCATTCCTTGGACAGTGTGCGGCCAGTGAAGGCCTTATTGGCCATTGGAGGCGGCCTGGCCCTCAGGCCCTTCACTCCCTGCGCCGAATATCTGCACTTCCTTCTGCTCATTTTGTGTTTTCTTGATTCATTAGTGAATTTGAAATAGACAAAAAAGTGTCTGGCAAAAAAAGAATATTTAAATTTTTGTTTTGCTGAAATGCTTTTTGGGAAATCCTCAGGAAGAAGAAAAGTCCAATGTTTCCACCTAATAGATAACACTTTAACTGCTGAATAAAAGAGACACCATCCAGTCTAGTTCAATATACTGTAATCAGAATACAGACACTTGATGAGTAATTAGACTTTGTGCAAATAAGTGTGATCCCAATGATGCCATTGTTCCAAATTTTCAAAAATGCTTGCAAAAAAGTTCAGTACATAATATCTTGGTCCTCTAAGATTTAACTGTTTACCAAATATGATTTCTCAACACTGATTCTCTCCAAATTGTTTAATCAACTAAACCTTAGCAGGGATAAGGCTGAACACCTGTTCCTTTAATTATTGATGTATGCTGCAATTCCTATTACCAGCACTGATATTTTGTTTTGATATTAGGGAAGGAAAGAAAGTGTATGTATTCACATCTGTTGTTTAATTGTACCTTTTGGGATGCACTATACTTTATGTTCTTTCAACGGCTATATACAGCAGCTTATATCTCTGTTTTACATTCTGATGTGATTGAATGTGTTTGGATGAATGTGGTTGGGGAAGGAAGGGGGTTTGGATGTGAGAATGTTGCTTGAACATTATGAATGCTGAAAAGCAGAAAATAAAGCTTGCTGCTCAATTCAATTCAATTAATCATAATACAACATTTGAAAAAAATGAAGAATTTTTCCCAATTTTACATTGATATTGACAGAACACTCTCACCCTTATTAACTAGTTTCCCCATTTCACATCAGGAAGTATTTGACAAAGGATTTATTGCCTAGTTTTTAATAAGGTCATCTTCCCATGAAGCAAAAGTCAGCTTATTGTCCTGCTGTGACTTGAATAAAAATACCAAATGCATTTTGCTTAAGCAAATGTACAAAACGACAATATTCAAAAGAGTCTTGCCAGTTTATGAAAAACAGTTTCTTATAAAATACAAGTTTGTGCAGTAAAAACAGTGCAGGTGTCCCTTTTTTGTTTTGTGCTTGGTCAGTTCAGAAGTTGTGCAGTTCTTACAAACATTGTGTTGTTTGCTATACCATGCAGTAGTTGACAGAGAAAATAGGGAATAAATAGTTGCACAAATGATAGCTAATAAGAGAATTTAGCCCTTCAAGATTCCTTGAGCCATGTCCATGTATAAAAAGAAGGCCCTTTATGCTTGCTTTCAGTTCAAACATTTGAAATGAACATTGCTGGCCAAAATAATTCAGAGAAGACTGGTTTGTGGCTATTTCTATGGGGCATATGTTATCTGCTTGTATAGAAAATTGATTCTGCATACTATTTTGAGAATAACTTGTTTGAGGGCCTATCTTACTGCATTTACTTGACTACGCCCACCCCTTTTTTGAGTTGTGCAGAAAAGTAGAAAAGGTTTGTTGGTACTGTATGCAATTATGGAGATTTTGAAGAAAAACAGTAGGCATTGAAGCTCTTGAAAATGAAACTCATAGGTGATGATCATACATTAAATATCCCTGCATGTAGTGAACAAAAAAATATTTTCCTCTTTGAAGCCAATTTTACTTTTCCTACAATCAAGCATCCAAGAAAAAATGACCATTAAATATAAAAATTCAAATTGTTATCCAGCAAAAACCATGCATAGCTTATTTATGGACAGGATTTTTTCTAAATTTGGAGCAAACAAATTGTGGTATACATCTTATTTGAAGGTGCACAGCATTCTCAAATAAATATAACATCTCCAATTCTTTTTTGTAGTTTCTTTCTTTCTTGATTGCTTGGTGTTGACTGTTGATGAACAAATCTTGTGGTAAACAGTCCCAAGAACTCAAATTTCTCCAGTAAAATAAATTTTTTACTGTCAAACAACTATGCACAGTGTTGTAGTAGGGTTTGGCTAGCATGAAGTATTTTTTGTAACAAGCCTTGATGCTGAGTCCCCATGCAAGATGTTGTCACATGGGCAAAATAATTCTTCAGGGTGTGACCTGGGCACATGGCAACAGTGTGCATATGACAGAAATCCTTTTGCATGGCTAGTCAAGTTGGCAAACTGACAGCAGTACAGGATTCAGGGAGAGGAAAAGGATAGGCCTGGCAGGAAATTTCACTTGAAGGCTCCACCTGCCAGAGGAAAGACCAAGGATTTTCCTTAGAAATTTGTGTGACAGTTGAAGGCTTGTACTGTTGGGCAATAATGTGAGGCTCATGTGAGCTAGGAATTGTAACACTGCATCTGTGTCTGTCCTCTCCTGTACTTTGCTGGAGTAGACTAGCATTCTGAAGGGGCTCCAATAAGGAAGATCTTGGCAAATAACAGCTGACAACCTGTGTTTCCTTTTTGTCCAAACCCTCTGTCATTTCCTGGCATGACACTTGGGACCAAGGAAAACACCTTAGTTATCATAAAAAATACATCTTAATAGGTTCTGAAAAGCCATTATCCTCATATTGAATTAGGTACCTTCACTATAAATTCTTTGTAAGCAGTATTTGCTGTAACAGTATTCTACAGTATACCACATATTGAACAATACATTGCAAAAAATAACTTCATGAGACATTAACCCTTGGACGGCGGAGGGATCTTCCCATTGCCAGCCAAAATTGGATTATTTTCATATGCTGTGGTGTTTTAAGTTTTCTGAAGGTCAGAAAAGACCTTCCAGGTGGGCTGAGGCAAAGTTGGGATTAATCCAAGAAAAGCCCATTGCTTAGCATAGGATTTTTTTCATTCTCCCATGAAACTTTTCTGTGAAAAAAGAAAAAAACATCAGATTTTTCCCGGACTTTGTCCTCAAATCCCTGTTGCCCTTTTTTATTTTCTGCCCTGAGGTGTAACAAAATTTTGCGAAAATAGTCCAACTTTGCCGCCCAAGGGTTAAAAATAAACATCACCTTGATAAATTTTGTTTGTACAGGTGGTACCTTGCAATTCAACCTGCAATACAAGCATCCCACAATTTGACAGTCAAATTTTCATGGAGGTAAACTTGCAATTCAACCTCTTTCCCAAAATGCAACTTGTTTTAGCCTCTTTTCTAGTGTTTTTGTGCTGTTTCCCTTGATTTTTTAGATTGTCTTGCAATTTGACCTCAGTTTGGCAACAGATTAGGGTCAAATATGGACAGGAGATTTTTTTTCATATATTATTATATTGGTCTGTCTTTATTCAAGTATTTATGTGAGGACTTTGAAAGGTTATTGTAAGGTATTCCAAACACCGTTGCCTTAGAAATAATTTTAAAAAATCATATTTTAAGAACGGTATAGTTTTTGAATAGATGACCTTGAAAAAAGGGAATTCTCTATAGTCCATGATTTTTATTTCTCCAGTTTTTTCCACTTGGTCGAATTTGACCTGTTTTGGTCATACAATTTTGGGCGTCACTCATTCTGCACTTTCTTCCTTTCCTCCCCTCACACAATGCGTCATGGTGCCAACATAGTCATCAGTGTTCATCCATGCACTATAATTCAAACTGTAATCTGATAATCCAGGCAGATGTTAAACCAAAACGAGTGGTTATATACATTCTTGAAGGAATTTATAAAAGTCAAAGGAGCATCTTTAATTCTGTAGGACGCGTGTTTTAAAGAAATTCGCGAAATACCGCGTTCTGATGAGAAGATTCAGACAGATTCTATATAGAGATAGGAATTCAGTGAACCTCGCATTTCAACACGAAATTTTTTTATAGAATATATATAGCTTATATCCTAGAACATGAACGCCAAATTTATTTGGCTGATGTAGCCTTTTATTAGTGCGGAAAATTTCGAATTGACAATTTGGAAATGCATTCTTAGAATACCACCAGGAATCAATTGATGATACGTGCAACCACTGAAAGTTGCTTCTTTGTCACTTTTATTTTGTTAACTTTGGCTTGTAATTCTGTCAAGTACAATATATTTTATCTTGTAGAAATTGTTAATAAAATGATGCAAACTTTTTTGTTTGTTCCGCACTGCTTTTAAAACTTGAATAGCACTTATAAAACCGGGTAAACTGAAAGCATCTAGAAATTTCGCGATGGGCTTGTAAATCATAATTGTCATATTTGTTGCATTGATCTGCCATCTGTGGCCTTGTATGCGTTTTGTACCGGTATTTGTGTTTAATACGAAACTTTAGACAGAGGTAGAATTGCTGAACAGATAATCTTTTGAAATTAATTAGCCAACTGAAGAATGAATCCATTCGTCAAAGAAAGGAAACACTTTTCGGCTTCCAATATAAATTATTATTCCAATAAACCTCCTTAAATTCTCCAATGGCTCACCTGAGTTTCGACGAAATTCGGCAGAAGGTTCACGATTAAAAAACACACCAGAACCCTAAAGAACCCATAACTGCACTGTGACACGGACATTTCGTGTCAATAGAACCCGTCGCGCGCGGTGCTGCAATCAAAATAAAATTATACTGTTCAAAATTGCCACAAAAACTATTTCGAAGAATTTCGGAATTATAATTTTATAGCACTGGTGTGACGAAAGTCGGAGCTTTCAAACCCTATGCCATTCTGCATCGGAATGAGTTGTAGTGACACAAGGGAGCATGAAGCTCATTAAGTATGAACTGGTGACCGGAGAAAAAGGCGTGGCTCACAATTGCTCATGGCCGCCAGGTGCAGATTAACGGTGTAACGCGGGATTTTACCAAAACGCACGGAGGGTCATTAATTATGACTTGCGACTTATTAATTCAGTATGTCTAAATTCTAAAATTAGTCTAAGTCTCGATAAAGTTTCTTTCAGAAGCAGTACAGGCGGAGGACATGTGGGAACCCTTTCCTGATGGTCATGACGAGGTTGCAATATGATGCCCATCAAGGCTCGTCCCACTCTCGCGCGTCCTTATAGAATTCATGGAATTGGTAAAATATTAAAACAATTTTCAGATTCTTCCTCATCATCATGTGCACATCAAGTTTTTTTTCTTCTCAGACTTCAAAGACTTTTTATTAAGACGTCGCATTATGAAAATGAAAATTTCCTGGCGTCTCGAGTTTCCACTTATATACTGGTACTTCACAGTATACTGCGAGTTCATCACGCAGACTTGAAATCTTGACCTTTTTGTTGCTTGAAAGATTATGCTTCTTATATATGGTGGAAAATCTAAATTGTTGGATGATCCATTTTACATGTATGATTACATTACTTTTATCTTTTGGGTTCAAAAAATCGGAAGTGAGAAATCAGCACGCACAATGAAACAAAACAAAGCCGGAGAAACATGATTTAAATGAGAAGAAAAGTGCCAATAGAAAAAGTTTCCGTCGTGAGTGTAATATGATGTCATTAATTGGATTGAATAAATAGAAAAGATGCCTTACTTATACTCTGAAGTTTAAATACCGACCCGGTCAGCAATCAATTAAAGGAATACATAGAATAAAATATAATTGTCTGTCTTCAGAATCCCTTCTTTTATTTTTTCGAAGAATAAGATACAGTACTGTATTTTGTGTGTCACAGTTGGACAAAAAGTATACTGTTTGTAATACTGTACTGTATAGCATATACTGTACTATATATAGCTTTTCATTCATTGCCCTGCGCAAAATACAGAATTACTCCATACTTACGGTTACAAAGTATCCTTGAAATAAATTAAATTACGCATACAGTATCTTTATACCTGCTAGTGGGATACCGCATACAAATGCGAAATTTAGAATTTTTCCTAACTCGACGTTGATGCACCAATGTAATTTTGTCTCATGAAGCAGTCGTGGCCGAGTGGTTAAGGCGTCTGACTCGAAATCAGATTCCCTTTGGGAGCGTAGGTTCGAATCCTACCGGCTGCGTAACTTTTTCACGCTTCTGGGAGGACGGAGGACTAAGCACGTTTTTTATTTGTATGCCACGTCTGTCATATCATTTTAACATGAGGAGACTGTTGAAATGCCATTATTTCAATTCAAATGAATGGAATATTGTCAAATAATATTAAAGTACTTTTATATAATATTATTGAAGTACTGCATGTAAAATATGTACTTCCCCAAAAACCTTGGGCTTCATAATACTGTACTTATTATCAGCGTCCATTTCGAAATTTGTGTTCACTAATAGTGTACTCAAGTTCTGTGCTGCGATGGCCGAGTGGTTAAGGCGTTGGACTTGAAATCCAATGGGATATTCCCGCACAGGTTCGAACCCTGTTCGCAGCGAAAATTTTTTTGGCCTGCGAATAATGACACACATGTCGTACACTTTCTGTCTCACTTGATTCTACCCTTGAAGTAGAAAATAGAAGTACTGTGCTTCTGGTGAACCACCAAAGAATATCATTTCAAAATTCCAAATATTTACTGTTTCTTAATCTTAATTCCCTGCACAATCAAAGTCAAACTTCTTTAAACCTCCAAGCTCCATGCTTGTGCAGCACGATTTTGATTCAACAGTGATGGAGGTTTATTGATTGGAGTGGCCTAGGAACAAATAAAATTATAACTGAGATTATTGAAAAAAATCATGATATTTTTTTTTCATTTTCCACAAAAAATGAGTTTGGCAAATACAAGAAACTATAATATTTATTCGTAAAATATGTCCATATACAACCTTCAGTGAAAGCTTCATAGCTTAAATTTTCAACACACTTTTCAGCAGACTGCATATGGTAGTATGAATTAAGCTGCGCAAAACACTTCAGGGAGTGTCAGCGTCATTTTTTTTAAGTATTTTTGCAAGGAACTCTCTCATCAAAACCTCCTTCAACACAAGGGTTCTAACAAAAGTTCTCAGAGTTGACCACAAGCCATCACCAAAGATGGATGAACTTTTTTTTATTGGATTCCTCATCCATTTTTAACCTAGAACCAATTTTTTTTCATCCCTAGACAAAAAATGGAAACAGGGAAAAAAAGTGAATGAGTTTTTTCTGGCGCTGTGCCCACCCATTCTAACAGAAGTTCTTGAAATTAAAAAAAAAATTTTGGGTCAAAAAAATTTTCTCATTGACAAAAAACACTTTCCCTTGGAGCCTGTGGGGTTGCGTCCATGCGGCGTGACCCGAGCGCAGCATCCTTGCTCAGGCACGTCGTGCAGCAACAGCAGCGCAGGGGCCCGGAAGCGGATAGGAACCCGGTTTGTCGCATTGCAGTAAACAGGGTCAGTAGCTAACTGATACGGATCTTGGGCGACAAAGCCCGGACAAAGTCTCCAAGGACTTTGGTACTCTTGCTTAAGGATTGCCCAACGGCGGTTGTGTATAGAAGCTGAGCTGATTTGTCTTGTCTGAACTGTGTGTGAAAGTCTTACTGGTCCTTCTGTGGTTACCCTGTGGCTTGAGTAAAGTGTGCTGCTTTTAAGGGACTCTGCTGAAGAGGATCCGGCCGTTAAAGGCTGACTGCTGTGTCCATTCTCTTCTTTCTACTCTTTGTCATTTAATCGGCCCAACAAAATTGGTGGCCAGTGGGTTTACCTCTACGAGGTCAAACCCCGGCATCTTTGAAATTTTGGGCACAGTTTTCTTTTCTGTGGTGTGGCATTTTTGATTGTGTGAAATTGCAGCCTAGCTGCCCTTATTTTACATCCAACCCTCCTCACCCTGTGGAAAAGCCTGTAAGTACTCACCTGCATTTCTCCTGTGAATTCTATCCTGCACGATGAACGGTGAGGAAGGCGCAGTCCCGGGCACGCCTCCAATCTTGAGCCGCACGCACAGTACGCGCCAGCCTCCGTGAAGGCATGGACCCCTACCAGTAGGGCCACAGCATTGCGTTTCCCTGAGTCCATCCAGCACGGGTAGCCGCAACAGCGCGTGGTCCGGGTCCTCGCATTGAACACAACAGACGCCTCTTTCAGGCATCAAGCCATGCTCTCAGTGTCCAGCATCTCACGGTGCTGCCTCGATTGCAACCTCGAGCGGCCATTCCTTAGCGTCAACAGCACACCGCCCCACCATTATTAAACATGTCCTCTGCCTTGCCAACGCGGTGGGCACGGTCAACCATATTTTACGGACTACGGAACGCGGAGACCCGCAACAATGTTTTGAGAGCGTTGTTCCGCAATTTTTCAATGCAGCCGCACATCTTATCAATCTGTCACCTGCTGCATACTTGCAGCCAGAAATTTCTGCCCTCCTGCAATTGGCAACCAAGGTCAACACGCTTCTCGTGCAGTCCATGGATGACCTGGGGGTGGCCTCATCTCTGCCTGACGCAGCCACGCGTCCTGGGGGTTGCCCTTCCTGTAGCACCGCCCGCACCTGCGCCGCCTATGCCATTGGTGGCGCACGCTGCACCCCCGCTCTCCCGCAGGGGGGCGTTGGCTCCCGTACTTCTGTTGCACCTGCCCAGCATGTTGCGCAGAACAGGATTGGCATCATTGCATCCAGCAATGGGGCAACTCGTCCCTCTGCACCCTATGGCGCCCACCTTGTTACATCCGCCAGCTCCGGCAAGTTACGGCAACTCGGAGTCTGGACCATCATCCATCCTGCAACCGCAGGGCCAACCGTACAAGGCATATCATCACACCCTTGCAACATTCGGGACAGGGCAACCCACAAACCTGTCCCACCATGACCTTGTGAAGTCATACAAAAAGCAGGCTTGCAATGCATTGTTTAACAAGTTTACTGGCCAAGCAGATTTGAATTATCTGTTTGAGCGCCTTTGGGGCAATTTCATGCCAGTCCACATCATCCCTGCTGTGCAACTCATGGACATTGAACATATTTGGGTATTGTTACTTCACCTTGATGGTGAAGCCAAGGAAAACATCGGCGCATTTGCGTACCAAGACGTCAATATGGATTACTTGAGCGTCCTTCAAGTGCTCTTTGCATGGTACGGGCAGACGGAGGCGGTCCGCCTCAAGCTGTACTGCGAGTTCAATTGCCTTCCAGCGCCCAACACTCTGCCAGAATTTTATGACTACTTCAATTGTGTCGTCCAAATCACGGAAAAACTCAGCACAATTCAGATGGACATGAATTTCGTGCACCTTTGCATGGGCCCTGTCCTACGCGCGCATCTGGAATGCAGAAATTATCTGGAAGTGCTCCAGTCCTATATGGATTGCCATGCCCAGATGCCAGAACTTGATCCTGTCTGGGCAGCTCGCCTGCATCAACAGTACAGGTTTATATGCGCATACTTTGTGCACAAGCTCCGCGTGGCGGAGGCTCCACCCGTCCTTGCGTTTCAGGGCACAGCTGCTTTGGCTCATGGCGCTGCTGCTCCCGCAGCACCCGCCGCAGCCCCTAAAGCGGCCCCACCTGCCGCGGCAGCCGCAGCACCCGCTGTTGAGGCCAATGCCAATCTTGCCAACATGGCACCATCTACCTCTTAGGGGAATCAACGGCAACAGCAAAACTGGAACAACAGAAATCAGCAACGACCATTTTGGCGAGGGTAATTGCGTCCCCGCAGCCCCCCACGCAAGTGGCGGTGGCGTGGACGCTCCTCTGACCAACAACACAGTTGCTCCCCAAATTGGCGGAATGACAACGGCAGGCAACCGCACTGTAACAATGACTCGCAACCTGATTGGGACAACAATTCTCTGGACAATTGCTGGGACCAGCAGGACCAACTCACATGTCCATTTTGCTCCGCAAACCACACTGTGGCCCAGTGCCTTCTGTCCATCTGGCAAAAACTGCACGCCATTTGTCAGCATTGGCTCTGCCATAACTGTCTCTTGCGGGACCACTACAGCAACAACTGTCCATTGCCCAATCAGTGCCGCCACTGCCAGCAGGGGCATCACTTGACGATGTGCAACTGCAGCTGTCAGCAGAATCAGCAGCCCTCACAGCCAGGGGGGCAAGCGGCCGTAGCTGCCCCAGCTGTCCAACAGGCGGCACCATCGGCTCCCGTTGCACCTCCAGCACCGGCAGCACCAGCTGCCGCCGCTGCCTCAGCCCCAATTGATCAACAGCAACAGGCCGCACCAGCCGGCTGACCACCACCAGCGGCCAAACGCCGCGTTGTCCTGGTCATCTCAGCTCCTCAGCCAGGGCCCACGTGCGCCTTCCTAGAGATGGCTGCTATCCGATTGGAGCCTGAAGGGCATACGGCGTATGCTCTCCTGGACTCCAGGGCCCAGCTAACGCTCATCTTGCAGGCCCTCGTCCAAAGACTTAATTTGGTCACCAAACCATGTCAGCCCTACATAATCGGCGGCGTCAAACTGGCTAATCCCATGACTGCAATGGAGGCTGTTTGCCTCACATACCGGGGGGCTGTACCAACCTCCCCCACATTTTACACTGTGGCCCTTGTTGTACCTCACGTTGAGCCATGGAAGGGTTCTAACCCATGCGCCGTACCCTGGTTGGAAAAGTTTGACCTGGCGGACAGGCGCATCCTAACTGATACTGTCCTGACCTTTGATATCATCCTGGGGGCAATGATATGGTACCCTTGTACCGAGATATTAAGCCTCCTTTACTCAAGGGTTTCTCAGGGTGCCTACGCACCTAGGAATTGTGGCAAGAGGAACGTGGGCCGCCCAGCAAGTGCAAGGACCAATCCTTGCACCTCTCGTATGCATGGCGCTTGAAGCGCCTACCCTGGTTTCTGACGGCAAGCTCAATAGCCTCATACTGCAATATGAGTACCAGGATTGCATCAATATTTTGGGTGATCCGAGCAAAGAGCAGTGCTCTAGAGACAAACAATTTCAGGCATACCTCCGCCAACTTGTTGTCAGTCCAGGGGGTGCGTTGTGGCACCCCTCCTCAAAACTTCCTCATACCAGGACCAATGTAAACCAAACCTGTGCACCGGGGCACAGCAAAGTCAATCTTGTATCAAACTCCTCCAGGCTGGTGGCCCAATGGCAAAAGCCTATGAGGAATTCTTTACCCATTGGATTGATGATGGCGTTATTACGCCCATGACAATTGAGGAAATGAACCAAAAAGGCATTGCTTACACAGAGCTGCCCCACCATGGGGTTGCGCAGCCATCAAGCTCATCAACACCCCTCTGGGTCATCATGGCTGGAAACGCGGCAGACCCTGGCAGCCTCTTGTGTAATCAATTATTTAGCCAAGGGGCCAATATCCTGCCCCGGATAACTGAGATTCTTTTAGGGTGGTGCTTCACAGAGGACTTTGCTGTTGGCAATATTTGCAAAGCGTTTGTCCAAGTTGAGCTTGCCCCCAAAGATCAGTGGGTTGTAATAATTTGGTGGCCCCAGCTGCAACCCAATGACAGCATCATCCACAAGTTCTTCCGTTTCCTATGCCTCCCATGGGGCATAAACTGCGCGCTGTTCATGTTGAACACGGCAGTCCAATTTTTATATCGCAAAGCAGTAACCCGCGGCATCTTGTCCACGGTGGAACAAGAGGAGCTTGATGCTACAATGTATGTCGACGACCTCCTTGTCATAGGGGACAATCCCCATGCAGTTGAACTTAAGTTGCAACATGCAACCGCTGCCCTCAAAGTAGGCAGCTTTGACCTCACTAAGATTAAACGGTCTTATCCAACAGCCAGCACCCCAGTCAACCCAAAACCCTACAAGGTCCTGCTGGGGGCTGTCTACACCCCGCAGGCAGACACACTCAGCGTGTGCACTGAATTGCTTGCTGCACTCCTCAAGTGCCCGCGCCTGCAGAAGCGGCAAATTGTTGGGGTTGAGGGGCGGCTTTTCGACCTTCCCGGGTTGATCACCCCCTTCATTACCACCATTCATTACCACCCTTTGGCAGCGCTTTGACAAGCAACACCCCAAAGCACCATGGGAATACCTCCTCACCAAGAAGGAGATGAAACCATGGCACAACATTATCCGCCAAGCGCTCCAGGCCAAATCCATCAAGGTGCCACAAAAAGTTGCAAAACGCGTTTCCAATGCAAGTAGCATCGCCTTGGGAGTGGTCATCTACTTCACATCCAGGGGGGACCGGCCGCAAATGCGGCTACTTTTGGGCAAATCCAAAGTCATTCCTAAAGCCTGTCATCCAGAACCAGGCATCCCTCTTCCCGCATTTCGAATCAACCGCCTCAAACTGGCAGCGGCTGCCATGGCAGCGCAAATGATGCAGGCACTATCCATCAAAGTGGACCTATGCCGGCACACGGTCCATTACTGGACCAATTCTGCCATCACCCTAGCCTGGATACAGAATGCGGCTGCACAGACTGATTGCTACGTTCAAACACGAGTGCAGAAGATTGCAGCCAGCACAGCCATCCACCAGTGGCAGCACACGCCCCGCACGGACAATCCGGCCAATCTGGCATCCAGAGGATGCAACATGTCGATGCTAAAACAGGCCACCCTGTGGTGGTATGGCCCAAAGTGGCTACCCTTCCGTGCACAGTGGCCAGCTGCACCCCTCAACATTCAAGCCAATCTGGCCCAACCTTGGGAAGACCCGCCCAAACGGGCATATCAAGCAGAACAAAGTACAGTCCTGTCCCTCTTTGAGACAGCTGGGAGCTGGGACAAAGTGGAGAAAACAATCATGGCGCTCTCCAGGTTCAAGGAGTATTTTACGCGCCACCATCAAAAAGATCCAAAACCTCTGGTCCAGCTTAGCAGGGGCGCCTACGTCAATCTGTATCGGCTTGGCTGGTCCGCCAAAGAGCGGCGCACAGCCACCAATGATGCAATTTGCATCCTTTGAAAGTTCTATGACCATATGGCCTATACTGATGTTACAAACAACCGCAAGAACAAGCAGCGTCCGGCTCTCCGGTGGGACTCCACGACCCGCCTGGTCATGTCCCGGAGCCAGCAGGACACCGATGTGTCCCTGCCCCGATGGCAACACGGGCTTGAAGCCCGCAAAGAACTAATACACATCCCGGTCCCTCAAACGGGCAACATACCCCCCTCCTG